ACCCCCTGCCCTACCCACTTCCTCGCTCGAAATAGTTTAGTGAATCCAATCCACGTCGAATCATTTTATTCCTGGATCACATCTTGTAGTTCACTTAGGGAAGATGCAAAACAGAACCAAACCCCTTTTTAGTTGTTTTTTTGTAAATTATTCCTTTCTTCGTCATAGAGTCGATATCAATAAGATTACCTGCGGGTTACTGCCGTGGCAAGCCTAAGCGATCAACAGATAGCCACCTCATTTAAAATTGAAATAACTGTTAGTGATTCGCGGTTTTTTACCTGATGTAAATTGGACCTGATTTGCCCACACAATTTTTTTTTGTTAGTTTCCGTGACATCCTCGGGCGAATCAATTGAACCAATTTTTTTTAAAAAAGGCTTTTTTATAAATAGCCACCGTGAAGCCGGATTTGAAGGGAAGGTTGCCATGAGTTCATGAATGTAAATGTTTGTGATATGACCCGAGAATCTATAAAAGGCTAAGGGTGGCGCCAGATGGGGCAGTCTCTCATCGTCTTGACGGGGTAAGTGTTGAGATTAACTTAAGTACAACCTTATGCATGATACAATTAAACTTCCGTACATACATTTCAAAAAGCTACTTGTCTATGAATGCAGAAATAATCTACTTGAAGAAAAGACACGCAAGAACAATTAAAAAAAAAAAAAAAATTTTTTAAACACCGTCTGTGGAATCAAAACTTGAACAGAAATTCCATACTAATAAAGTAAACAACCCCTTGAAAGAAAGGTTTTCGTATCAATCCTTTATATGCAATTCTTTTGTTTGCTGTTATGTAACTGTACGGGATATATCGCTTATGTTATTGTAACAACTGATTTTTTTATTTGGGAATGTTTTTTTTAATGTAACTTAGTGCCTGTAAAACCTAAAAGACTAGAGATAAATTTAAACCCAAATACGTCACAAATGCAAAGCGCGAAGCAACAGCTGCACAATTAGTCTCCACACCGAAACACGCAACCATTAAACAAATCATATTTAATTCATCTTTCCATTGAAAAACAGGAGAAAAAAAACAACTGATTTTTTGGGGTTGTGGTGTCGCTGAAAATTTGAAAGAATGTGTTGTCATCGACAACGAGCATATGAGCCAAGTTTAAGCTCGACAGGTCAACGGGAAGTGGATCAATTAACCGTACGAAGATTTTGTCACACACTCAAATAGAAAGAAAGAAACACAAACAAAAGCGAAGTTAATACAAAGGATTTTAAAATAGAGGTTCGCAGTACGCGCACGTGTAAAATGAAATCTTCATCATCTGGGAAAAAATATGTTTCATGTTTAGCTTTGAAATTTCTGAAGAATTTACAGCTTTTTAATAAAAAGTTCGTTAAAATATCACCCCCCCCCCTTTTCCACACACACATTTAGTTTAAACAAATGCACAATATTGTTAGTGAATTATTATGATATTCGACGCCTCTGAGGCCAGAAAATTGAAGGCAATGTGGTGATATTCAGCGTCATTGATCACTTTTTTATTTGTGATTAATAAGGTGTATGAATAATAGATGAGTCCGGGAGTATTTCTCAGTTCATAACGTTTCTTTGTGGTTTTCCAGGAACTCATGTTACCGACTTTTCATATTATCATAATTGATAATTGATCAATGTCGAAATATTTTATTGAAACTTTCTAAGCTTTTCAATGTAAAATTGCATTCAGCTACTCTACCGAGATTTATGAATAGCGCCCAATGGTGAAGAATGCGATAAATCACTAGCCTTTCAAAACACAATGAAACAATTTGAAAAAAGACTTTAAAAAAACACACTCTTTTCCCAAAAATGTACTAAAAAAGTTTTTTTTAAAGTAAAGTTTCCAAAAATTTAGTGTTGTTACAGTCATATGAGTGGGCAAAGCGTGGGCCGCCCATGAATTACAATGGCATCGTATGACTTTACGAATGCAATGTTGGACACATGTACACAGCGTGCATTGCTACACGTAAGCGTGACGTGACTCAGTTGTTTTGATACGTACGATGTAATCACGGAAACACGAGATCTCACAGCTAAGGTACGCTCCTAATCGATCGGGATCTTGACATGTGGGGGTGAAATTAGCGGTACCGCTGCGTGCATGTCTTTGCTGCTTGCAAAGAACATTGAGTTCATGGGCGCCCCCCCCCCGTTTTTTTAGTCATATGAATGAAACAACTCTGAAGATGTGTGTTCATTTATTTTATACTTTGAACTACTATTTTGAAAAATAGTCTTTTTTAAAGTGTATTTTTTAATTATTATTATTTTTTAAAACTGTTTTTGTTTTGGAAGATGTAATTTCAAACCCAGAAGTATGTTGAAAATTTTGACCAAATAGAGTGATTTTGAGATTGCGTAGTAGGTCAAAATTGAGATGAAAGATTCCACCACAAACAAACAAATGATCAGAGCAATCTAAGTAAAATCGCATAATAAAATGTATCTTTCAGATAACAATTTTTTCCGAGCTAGTTCATAAATATACTTTTTGAAATTATTTTGTTTTGCAGACCTATTAGATTCATACAAGAATGGTTCGCATTGAGCTTATCATGGCCATGGTGGCTGTAGCCAGCGCCCAGTACGGGTATCCACCTCCAGGTACTCCGGGCATTCCCTATGAATATCCTTACGAGAGGTACAACCCAGGGGCTCCTGGCTATGACGATGAGCAGCCGTCCTATCCCAGCGTGCCGTCTTATCCCAGTGGACCTTCTTATCCAGCTGGACCCACTAAACCCAGCGGACCATCCTATCCCAATGGTCCCTCCAAACCCAGCGGACCATCCTATCCCAATGGTCCCTCCAAACCCAGCGGACCATCCTATCCCAATCGTCCATCCAAACCCAGCGGACCATCCTATCCCAATAGTCCCTCCAAACCCAGCGGATCATCCTATCCCAATGGTCCCTCCAAACCCAGCGGACCATCCTACCCCAATGGTCCCTCCAAACCCAGCGGACCATCCTATCCCAATGGTCCATCCAAGCCCAGCGGACCATCCTACCCCAATGGTCCTTCCAAACCTAGTGGAAATTCCTATCCCAACGGCCCGTCCTATCCTAACGGCCCATCTTACCCAAGTGGACCATCCAATCCTAAAGGACCTTCCTATTCAGATGACGATGATGAGTATAATGTTTATGATCCCAGTTACGACTATAACACACAAGGCCTATACAGCCCTGGTGCCTGTAAGTAATCTCGGTGACCTGTAGTATAAGTAAGTTGTACACTATAATCATTGTAAGAGCATAACATGTTTATGACTATTTGATCTAGTAATCAAACCGTTTAGATCTCAAAAGTATCAAACATGTTACGACGAATCATGGTGCGCAATCAAATGTTCATAGAATGTTGTGTCATGATGGAAAGGTTACTGTGCACCGTGTGTAGTTGTTGTTTTTTCCCCTACCATTACCACTGAGATAATCCCATGAGGATTAGGATTGTACTAAGGTGTCACCATCTTTATTAATGTTCCATGTTATTGTATTGTATGTCGTGTCAGGTTGTAATAATGTTTCATCCTATGTTGCGTCATGTTTCATTAACACATTATATATATACATACGAGTTTTTGCAAATTATCGAACATGCTGATGACCAAATATTTTTAACACTACTCTCAAAAGGAAATACATTGCTTTTATTTGTAAATCTCAATGAATTTAGCGGAGAGCCAAAGAGACCAGAGATTTTGAAATACCAAACCATATGTTTTAACAAAAAATGTGACATAATTCGTTTCATAAACATATTGAGCTTTTCGGTTTATTCAAGAATCAGATTTTAAAAAATAAAATATTGTAGTGATTTAATATAGCTGATTATAGTTTTAATTTTAAACCACAAGATAATGTTTGTTTATCATAATTAAACCCTTCTTCATAAAGTAGGCTATATAAAGAAATTGACACCTCAAACCCAGTGGTATGTTGTAGTCGTGAACTGTCAATAAATACCACCTTAATGCTAACGTTTCTCTTGTGATATTTTTAAGACCCCTGCGGATACAATGATAAGGGCAAACTTTACTCAGTCAATGGTGTTTGCTTCGCCTACTTCGAGTGTGTTGATGGGCAGTCCTTGTATCGCCAGTGTAACGATAACTACAGGTTCGACGCAGCATCCGGCAAGTGTGTAGCTGACAAGTCCTGCACCACAGGTAACAAATCAGGACAGGTGGTACAACCCCCTTTGCTCCATGAATCCATCCATCCATCCATCCATCCATCCATCCTTCCATCCATCCATCCACCCCTTTGGCGCTACAGCCCAAGAAGGGCTTTGGCCTGTCTCACCACTTCCTTACACTCAGACCTTCCATCCATCCATCCACCCCTTTGGCGCTACAGCCCAAGAAGGGCTTTGGCCTGTCTCACCACTTCCTTACACTCAGACCTTCCATCCATCCATCCCTTTGGCGCTACGGCTCATGTAGGGCTTTGGCCTGTCTCACCACTTCCTTACACGCGGACCTTCCATCCATCCATCCCTTTGACGCTACAGCTCATGTAGGGCTTTGCGGACAGAGTGGTGAAGGAAACACTCAGACCTTCCATCCATCCATCCCTTTGGCGCTACAGCTCATGTAGGGCTTTGGCCTGTCTCACCACTTCCTTACACGCGGACCTTCCATCCATCCATCCCTTTGACGCTACAGCTCATGTAGGGCTTTGGCCTGTCTCACCACTTCCTTACACTCAGACCTTCCATCCATCCATCCCTTTGGCGCTACAGCTCATGTAGGGCTTTGGCCTGTCTCACCACTTCCTTACACTCGGACCTTCCATCCATGCCTGTAGCGCTACAGCCCAGGTGGGGCTTTGGCCTGCCTCACTACTTCCTTCCACTCAGACCTAACTAATGCTTGAATTCCCAACTGCTGTAGATCTTTTTCCACACGATCCATCCATCGAAGCCCATGTCTGCCTTTGAGATTTTCTCCTCTGATGTTTTGGTGGTGCACCCTCTTCACTCCTCTGTCATTTGGCATTCTTCCTAAGTGTCCCACCCAGCGTAGCCTGTTCTTTTTAATTTCTGCTACTAGCGTGGGTTCGTGGTATGGTCTATACGATTCTTGATTATATCGTATTCTCCATCCAAATTCATCCTCTGTTGATCCGTATATTATCAGGAGAACTTTTCTCTCCCATGAATTCAAGGGGGACATTATGCAGATACCTCCGAAAAGCCAAACCTGGGAAATCGAACCGCTGCTTCATTTTAATATTTTGCCTTATAATTGTATTATTTTAGGTTTTTTTATAGGTTTTTCTATTTTATTGATTTTTAGAATAGAAAAAAAGGTTATCTTATCATATTAAGGCTTAAATTCATTTCAAATAGAATTCGTTTTACTAGAGAGTAGAAAATAATCCGCAATTTTCAACCTAGCTATTACAAACAGTAACTATAAATAGTATTTAAACTAGGAAAGTTAAAAAGAGTCCATTCTGAACCCAAAAAAAGATGATCTCTTTGCAACACCACGGAGAATCAGAGGAATGTCTTGATCATTAACACTGATTAATTTTCTAATACTTGATGAGATTAATGTTGTATTCGATATATGCCCTTGCAAACTCTTCAGCTTGTCCCAACGGATGGTATGCACATCCAAACAACATCTACAAGTTCATACTTGGAGGTCAAGAGATGGACTGCCCTCAAGGCACTTACTTTGACTACAAGATCTGCACCTGCAACCACAATTACTGTAAGAATGTATAATCCAACTCAATGAAATGCTAATGACAACACAAAAATTAATATAGGGGAAATGAAGAAGAAAAAACAACCAACATCGACACCAGCATCGAAAAGAATAGAATAAAATACAAGACAGTTGTCCTTCTTAGAATGTTTATTAATAGTGGGATGACGTCATACATTGGTTACCTAAAACGTATTCAAAACGAGGCTATCTTCAAATATTTTTTTTTTTTTTTTTTTTTAAATTTTCCTCCCCGTTTAGGGTTTTTTTTTTTTCCCCTCTCCCCCCCCCCCCCCAATTAGTTATGTGTTCATTTGAACACTTGCTTTCAGGCTATGGGTTAAAGACGTCGATTCCTGTCTGTGTCTGATGGAAGTAGTTAGATTTATGCTCTGTTATCCTTTTATCATAGTGCTGTCTTTTATATTGTTTTCTTTTTATCATATGTTGTCTTCTGCCATATGTTGTCCTCTGCGATATGTTGTACTCTACCATATGTTGTCCTCTATCATATGTTTTCCTCTACCCCTACGTTATCCTCTACCATATGTTGTCCTATATATTTTTTCCATTAACATAATGCTTTCCTTTACACATATGATGTCCTTTAACATGTGATGTCCTTTATTTGGTTTTCTTTTATCATAAATTGTCCTTTGTATTTTTTCCTTTACACATATGATGTCCTTTATCGTGTGATGTCCTTTATATTGTTTTCTTTTATCATAAATTGTCCTTTATATTGGTTATCTTTCTGACGACTTCGTCCTTGTTGTACGCATAGATGTTTGACATCCCAATCAATGTCTCGTTGGAGATCAGTGTCGTCTCAAAAAAATGAACTAGTTATTCTCTTCTCTCCACTCAGTGATGCCCCGCCGTAGCTACTATTGACGTGAACAAAAGTAACGAATGCCAAATGAGAGAGCGGTGGTGTTGAAGGACAACTTATGACGAGTGTACAACCACATGTGTGGTGGTGTTGAAGGACAACTTATGACGAGTGGACAACCACATGTGAGGTTATAAATGAGCTCAATGCATTGGAGGAAAACAACCTTTTGTAATAATATTATTAAACTCTTGTTTGAACAACGTCTGTCTTATCTGTTTCACGAGATTTGATGTTCGTCTAAAACACTACCGAATGGAAGAGGCAGAAATGTATTTAAATAAAGACAGCGGCGAGTATTCCATTGTCTTCTCCACTGCAGTTACTTTAATATATTCGTTATCTTTAATACTTGACACATCAGTCGATTACGAATTTATTTACCGATCGTTTACAAACGATTATTTCCTTAAAATCTTGAAAAACTACAGTAACATGTCGATAATCAGGATTCCCACTACAGTAACATGTCGATAATCAGGATTCCCACTACAGTAACATGTCGATAATCAGGATTCCCACTACAGTAACATGTCGATAATCAGGATTCCCACTACAGTAACATGTCGATAATCAGGATTCCCACTACAGTAACATGTCGATAATCAG